CCCCATAAGTGCCAGCGCCCCACGGTGCTACTGTGCCCCCCAAGTGCCACCACCCCACAGCATCCCCATGTCCCCATATGTTACTGTGCCCCCCAAGTGCCACAACCCCAGATGTCACTATGCCCAAGTGCCACAACGCCGTGTGTCACCGCCCCCCAAGTGCCTCCAAACCAACCACTCCCCTGGGTCGCTGTGACCCCCCAAGTGCCACCACCCCCAGCATCGCATTGTCCACAACGGGTGTCACCACCCCCCCAACCCCCCCCAGGGGATGGGTGACATCTGTGTGTCTGTCCCCCTGTCTGCATGTCCCCCCCACGTCATTAAAGCTGCACTGCGTGACCCTGTGGTGTGATTTGGGGACCCCAGAGGGACACTGGGGGGAGGGGGGAGGATGTGGGTGGGACCCACAGAGGGGGAGGGAGTGCAGATGGGATCCCAAAGGGGGGGGAGGGGGCACGGGTGGGACCCCAAAGGGGGGCAGGGGACAAAGGTGGGACCCCAAAGGGGGGCAGGGGACAAAGGTGGGACCCCACATTGACACCAGGGCGCGTTGGCGGCGTTCCGTCCCGGTTTTATTCTTTGCCCCGGGGGCGGCTTTTCAATATGAAAAAAAAAACCAAAAAGAACAAAAAAATAAACCAAATAGGGGGAAAAAAACAACAAAACAAAAATGGAATTTGTTGAGGAGGGAGGAGGGGGGGGACAAGGGGACAGGAGAGCCCTTTGGGGGGGTGGCAGCGACCACCAAAGGACGGGGGGACAAGGAGCGCTGACGGGGGGACGGCGGCCATGAGGTGACATCAACGGCCAGCAGCTGAGGGGGGACAGACAGGAGTGACAGTGGTGGCAGTGCTGAAGGGTGAGGATGATGATGGCCAGCAGCTCTAAGAGGTGACAACACTGAGAAGATGGTGACGATGGCCAACAGCTTCGTGGTGACAACGGCAGAAAATGGCGACCAAGGCCAACGTCTTCGTGGTGACACCACCAAGGCATGATGACGATGATGGCCAGCAGCTCCTGGAGGTGACAACGCCAAGAGGACGATGGCCAACGCCTCCATGGTGGCAGCAATGAAGGACAATGGCCAATGTCTTTGTGGTGACAGCACCGAAGGACGATGACCAAGGCCAACGTCTTCGTGGTGACCTTGCTGGAGGACAAGGGTGACGGCCAGCACCTTCATGGTGACATGGCCAAAGGACGATGGCCAACAGCTCGTCAAGGGGACAAGGGGGACAAGGCCAAGAGGGCGATGACCAAGGCCAACACCTCCGTGGTGACACAGCCGAAAGATGACGATGGCCAAGAGCTCTTCATGGTGACAACGCCAATGGACGATGGTGGAGGCCAACGCCTTCGTGGTGACGACACTGAGAGACAATGATGGTGGCCAGCATCTTCGTGGTGGCACGGCCAGAGGACGAGGATGGTGGCCAAGAGCTCCTCAAGGGACAGCGCTGAAGATCAATGGCCAAAGCCAACGTCTGCACGGAGGTCACTGCGGGACGATGACGACGATGGCCAGCATCCTCACGGTGACGCGGCCGAAGGACAGCGATGGCGGCCGAGAGCTCCTCAAGGGAGCAAGACCAAAGGACAATGCCAAAGCCAACATCTTCGTGGTGACAACACCAAAGGATGGTGATGATGGCCAACATCTTCGTGGGGACAACACCAAAGGATGGTGATGATGGCCAACATCTTCGTGGTGACGGTGCCAAAAGATGATGATGATGGCCAACATCTCTGTGGTGACGGTGCCAAAAGATGATGACGATGACGACGATGACGACCAACATCTTCGTGGTGACGGTGATAAAGAAGGATGACAACAAGGCCAAGAGCTCTTCAAGGTGACCAACAAAGGACGACACCTACAGCCAACGTCTTCGTGGTGACAGAGCCGAGGGACGATGATGGTGGCCGACGTCTTCATGGTGACAATGGTGAGGGACGATGGCGGCCATGTTTGTGGTGCAGCCAGGAGCACAGCGGAGGGACGAGGGCTCTCCGAGGACGACGCGGGAGGACGAGGGCTCTCCGAGGACGATGACGACGACAGCGACGATGACGGCAAAGGACGAAGGCCGGCGCCTCTCTTAGGCCTCTTCTTCGGCCTCCTCGCCGAAATCCTCCTCCTCCTCGGCCGTGGCGTCCTGGTACTGCTGGTACTCCGACACCAGGTCGTTCATGTTGCTCTCGGCCTCGGTGAACTCCATCTCGTCCATCCCCTCCCCCGTGTACCAGTGCAGGAAGGCCTTGCGGCGGAACATGGCGGTGAACTGCTCCGAGATGCGCTTGAAGAGCTCCTGGATGGCCGTGCTGTTCCCGATGAAGGTGACGGCCATCTTGAGGCCGCGGGGCGGGATGTCGCACACCGCCGTCTTCACGTTGTTGGGGATCCACTCCACGAAGTAGGAGCTGTTCTTGTTCTGCACGTTCAGCATCTGCTCGTCCACCTCCTTCATGGACATGCGGCCGCGGAAGACGGCGGCCACGGTGAGGTAGCGGCCGTGGCGCGGGTCGCAGGCGGCCATCATGTTCTTGGCGTCGAAGACCTGCTGGGTGAGCTCGGGGACGGTCAGGGCCCGGTACTGCTGGCTGCCGCGCGACGTCAGCGGGGCGAAGCCGGGCATGAAGAAGTGCAGGCGTGGGAAGGGCACCATGTTGACGGCCAGCTTGCGCAGGTCGGCGTTGAGCTGCCCCGGGAAGCGCAGGCAGGTGGTGACGCCGCTCATGGTGGCCGAGACGAGGTGGTTGAGGTCTCCGTAGGTGGGGGTGGTCAGCTTGAGGGTGCGGAAGCAGATGTCGTACAGGGCCTCGTTGTCGATGCAGTACGTCTCGTCCGTGTTCTCCACCAGCTGGTGCACGGACAGCGTGGCGTTGTAGGGCTCCACCACCGTGTCCGACACCTTGGGGGACGGCACCACGCTGAACGTGTTCATGATGCGGTCCGGGTATTCCTCGCGGATTTTGGAGATCAGGAGGGTCCCCATCCCGGACCCCGTGCCCCCGCCCAGCGAGTGGGTCAGCTGGAAGCCCTGCAGGCAGTCGCAGCTCTCCGCTTCCTTCCGCACCACGTCCAGCACCGAGTCCACCAGCTCGGCCCCCTCCGTGTAATGGCCTTTGGCCCAGTTGTTGCCAGCCCCGCTCTGCCCTGCGGTGGGGAAGACGTGGGGTGGGGGCGTCAGCGGGGGCTGCGAGGCGGCCCTGAGCCCCTTGGAGACCTGCATCCCATCGTGGGGGTCTCTGCCGCCTTCCCGAGCTCTTTGGAGTCACCCTCATCCCATGGAGGAACATTTTGAAGACCCCTTGGGGACACCAAGGGCCCTGGGGACCCCATTCTCCCACGGGGTGACACAAATCCCACCCTTTGGTGACATTCTGAAGAGCCCTTGGGGACACCCAGAACTTCAGGAACACCTTCACCCCACGAGGACGCCATTCTCCCATGGAGCGATGCCCATCCCACCCTCTGGGGACACCAACTGCCTGGGGGACCCCGTTATCCCATGGGGTGACACCCATCCCATCACTGGGGGCATACAGCAGATCTTTTGGGGACACAAAGTCCTCTGAGGACGCTGCCATCCCATGAGGTGACAACCATCCCAGTCCTTGGGGACACTCTGAAGACCCGTCGGGGACAGCAGGAACCTTAGGGACCATCATCCCACAGGATGACACCCACCCCACTCTGAGGACACCCCACAGATCCCCTGGGGGTGCCATCATGCCCTGGAGACCCCGTTATCCCATGAGGTGACACCCATCCCACCCTTTGGGGACGTTTTTAAGACCCTTTGACAACACCCTCATCCCACAGAAACCCTGTTACCCCATGGCTGATGTCCATCCCATCCTTACAGACCATTTTTAAGACCCTCTGGGGACACCACACATTGGGGACCCCGTTATCTCACGGGACAACCCCCATCCCACGCCTTGGGGACGCTACAAAGACCCCCATCACCCCCCAGGTGTGGAGCCCCCCAACCCCCATCACGGTGCACCCGAGGGGACCCAGAGCACTGACCGAAGACGAAGTTGTCGGGTCTGAAGATCTGCCCGAAGGGCCCGGAGCGCACCGAGTCCATGGTGCCGGGCTCCAGGTCCACCAGGATGGCTCTGGGCACATATTTACCACCTGGGGGAGGAAATGGGGCAGCACCGGGTCACCCCACAGCCCTACACCCCCATCCCAAGGAATCCACACCCTCAAATCCCCCCCAACTTCGAGGAAC